TTTTAGCTAGGGAAACTGAGGCCCTGCAAAGGGAAAGGACTTGCTTAAGACACACCACCAGCCGGAGGTAGAGCTCCGTCCACCAGGGGACGTCCGTATCTCTTTTGCAGTGGGAGATCTCTCTATCCAACACCTGTGTTGCAATCAAGGGAAGATGAGACAAGAAGCCATCTCAGTTCCTCATCAGACTTGTTCTGCATTCCTCACTCTTGTTCCTCCAGCTCAGGCCTTCTTGCCTAAGAGCCAAATCTGGGGAGTTCCCTGGACCCAGGAAATGAGCCAGTGCCTGGAGGATGTGGGCCAAGGAAGGTGACTCCAGAGAGGAAGTCCAAATTCATGCTCACGCCCTTCCCCTGCTCCTGATGATGCCAGCCACTGTTATCCTACATTCAGGCCCTGATGGCCTGTGTGCTACCATCAAGATCTGTTTATTCAGGTACAAGGCCTTCTGTTATAAAGTTAAGAAACTGGACGTTCCAAGGACCATGGTGCCCGTCAAAGACCCAGTGAATGAAGTACACTTAGTGAAGTAGTGACTAACTATAAATTTAATCTAAAGTAAGAATGCTTTGAAGAGATAAGTACTTAAAGATAGGAGGATATTATGTAACCTTATAACCTATGAAGAAAAGTCTGCTTAACCATACTACAATGAGCAATAGCAATGTTAATGTTTACTTTTACTGTGAGAATAAAAGTGAAATAGGAGAGCAGAACAGCTCTTTGAGAAGATATCCTTACTGTTCTCCGGAATTACTGGCTTTTCTGTAAATAAAAGTGAAACAGTTGGCTCGGCGCCCTTAGCACAGTGGTTATGGCAGCAGCCACATACACCAAGGTTGGCGGGTTTGAACCTGGCCTGGCCCAGCTAAACAACAATGACAACTGCAATAACACCAAAATAGCTGGACATTGTGCTGGGGCTGCTGTAGTCCCCGCTACTTGGGGGCCTAAGGCAAGAGAATCGCTTAAGCCCAAGAGTTTGAGGTTGCTGTGAGCTGTGATGTCACAGTACTCTACCAAGGGCCACATAGTGAGACTCTGTCTCAAAAAAAAGAAAAAAGTGAAACTATTGATCTCTCATCCACTTAGGTTGATTGTCTTGGGTGACAGGTGGACAGACTCCTGGGTCCAGCAACACTGAAGACTCCTGGGCTCCACAGCAGGTGGCTGTAACTTGTCTGTGGCATGGCTTGTGGGCGAGAAATTGCCAGAGTCTGGACCAAGTGGTGGGGAGATGACACACCCCTGAGGGGAAGGTCCCCTGGGAGGAGTCAGCCAGTGTCTTAGGCAACTCCAGGAGGCTCAGAGACTCTAGCAGGTGGAGCCAAAGGATCCACTGGGAACTTGGCTGTCATTAAGAGGCCTGCAGCACCCAATAGCTTAGCATCAGACATTAAGGCAAATTCTCCCATTATGGTGAAAAGGAAAAGAGAGGGCCAAAGGCCAAAGGAAATCCAATTCTGAGCAGTGCACTCATCTAAAAATTGGATGTTGGGCCAGGTGATTACTGTCTTCTCTTCCAGAAAATGCTGGGACTAGGGAACTCATTCTCCCCTCAGAGAAGTGGGGAAGCTGAAAATGGCCTGCCTTATTGATCAGGAAACCAAAGTTAGACAATACCCAACTGGCTGGCTTTAAAATCTTCACTCCAGAAAGGCAGAAGTTGGAGAGCCAGAGATAACCCACAGGCTGCAACCCCAAGACAGGTAGGAAGGTGGAGATACACCACAGGAGAGGCTGTGCTCAGTAGTATAAATACAGGTTTAAGAATCCAGGAGGGTTGGTTCAAATACTCCATTTCCCTCCTGTATTCTCTTGAGCAAATCATCAGCCTTGTCAGAGCCTCAGTTTCTGTATCTCTAGAATGAGGATAGTAAAATAGTCTTACCTACCTCCTAGAGTTGTTTTAAGGATTAAATGAGACAATTCTGGCAAATTGCTTAGTCCACTACCTGGTTTATTTATGGTAACAATTTAATAGGCCAGGTGGGGTGGCTACCACTATTGGAGGCTAAGGTGGGTGGATTGCTTGAGCTCAGGAGTTCCAGACCAGCTTGAACAAGACTGAGGCCCCATCTCTACTTGAAGTAGAAAAACTATCTAACTGGGTGTTATAGTGGGTGCCTGTAGTCTAAGCAACTAGGAAGGCTAAAGCAAGAGGATTGCTTGAGCCCCAGAGTTTGAGGTTGCTGTGAGCTATGACATCATAGCATTCTACTGAGGGTGACAAAGTGACTCTCTCTCTACGGTTGTTTTTTTTTTTATTTGTATACCCTTTGAATTCATTTTTAATGCTGATTCAGTTAATTATAGATAGAAAATATTTGTATGCACATGTAAAAGGATATATATGGTTTCTTTGGAAAATGAAATGGGTATTTGCTATTATCAAACTAAAACCCTCCCAACAATGAGGG